AAATAGATATATAAATAGATAGATATATAAATATATTGATTGATAGATAAATAGATAGATAGATAGATAGATAGATATATATAATATGAGGGCTACATTGCCGAAATAAGTAATGTTTTATAGAAATCAATTAAATGTTTATTCATTTAGTCATTGGTGTTCATAAATTCAAAATAAACAAACCTATGTATATTTGAGGCCGGCAACCATTATGGTTAAACTTTTTTTCTAAATTAATTATGCTTTTTGCTGTGCACGCATGGCGGTATTTGCCTCCCTTCTTTCTAACGTTTAAACTACATATATATCAATCTATATTCCTATCTATCTATCTATCTACCCAAGTGCCTCTACCTGTGTATATATCTATCTAACTATATCTATAATTCAAAATTCTGTCTTTTACACAGGACCAACCATCAATTAGATAGTGATAGTGAAATTATCATCGGCGGCCGGCAGGTTTGAAACTATTTTTTTTAACCCGGTAAAATTGGTTATTTTTTAAACGGAAACCAAGGCTTTCTTTTACAACAATATTCCAAATCATAAATTAGCAGTTTGCTTATTTTTAAAGCTGTTGGGGATCAATTTTAAATCTTAGACATCACAAACCATCAAACATTCAAATAAAGATTATTGTAACACCTAAATCCGGAAATCGTTTAAAAACTGCGAAAACATCTAGCAGAAAGCCTCTAAAATAGTTAACAACAAAGTGCGTAGGCTTTAGTGCTTTAAACCCTAACTTGTAACCACATTTTTTGTTTGTATTTTAATACTAATAAGGCTTGCGCAACTATCTAAGAATGCCGCGAACCACTCACATTTTTCGAAATCAGTTAAAACCTTTCCCGATTTTCTGATTTTGTATGGGCGCTAAGTTATTTGGTATGAGACGTCTTTAACAAGTTTCTCCTTATAGACGCAACAGATAGAAGTAAGATTAGTAGCGATCAAAAGCGCTTTTTTATCGCATTAAGCCTATATCCCCTTTCATTTTTCGCGAACACTCCCTTTAACTTAAAATTATTTAATCGGCGGCCGACGTTTTGTATGTGTACGTGGGTACTTGTAAGCACAGGTATATCATTAAGTTTTTGTAGTTGTAGTATATATATTATATATTATATATCTGCTGTGATCGGTGGATGTTTAGACCTATCATTAATGTACATTCATCATAAAAAATGGCGGAGAGAGAGTACCTCTTCCAAAATATTTATTTATATTTTCATTCGGGGTTTAATTTGATATTTTTTTACTAAAACTTTGCAAGACGTATCTTTTGTAACAGCTAGCTATACTGTTAACATACTGTACCAGACAGTAAACATACTGTTAACATACTGTACAATACAGTAAACATACTGTTAACATACTGTACAATACAGTAAACATACTGTTAACAAACTGTAACAGTCAGATAACTTTACTTGTAACAGATCGGTAACATATTAATAACACACTGCAGATGGTAACATATTTGTAGCTATTGGCATAAAACTGAGTGGCAAACTATAATTTTCTAAGTACATCTGTGTAACCTGTGGCCGAATTTAAAGAATTTGAGCGGCGGTTTAAATTTAAACCGCGGCTTAAATATGTTTGGTTCCACTTAATATTGTACCAAATGTTTAAAGATTTAAGCCGGCGCTTAATTTAAACCGGGTTTTGGCGGATTTAAACCGCGGCTCAAATTCTTTAAATTCCATCTCTGATGTCATATATCGTATATTTCAAATGAAAAATTATGTAAGATCAAATGATCAAATCTTAATAAATCTTAAATATTAAAGATGTATATCATCCTGTTGCAATGATAAATACATAGAAAATTATGGTTAGTGGAGAGTGATCACTACTCACCTCCTTTAAGCATTAATTTTGATAAATTAACGTCACATTTCTAATTATATATTTTGTGCATAAAAGGCTAAAAAATATATATTTTATTCAGCAGATATTAAACGACCGATATATATAAATTTATCACGATATATTCTAATATATAATATATTCAGAATACAAAATAAAGAGTTGTTTACCAGATATATTTATGTATCTAAATTTATCTTTAAAACGTTATTTTGAAACAAAAAGTTAAGTATGCTTAAAACATTGAAAAACATATTTTTATAAGAACTGGAAAACATTTCAAATCTGAAAGTTATATTTATTTTTTTTTATAGAAAGGCACGGAGCATCTTGATTTTTTTTATAGAAAGGCACGGAGCATCCTGATTTTTTTTATAGAAAGGCACGGAGCATCCTGATTTTTTTTGTAGTTTAGAAACGTAGAGATCTCTGCTAAATTTGCTAAAACTAACCATGTCTGATGGTATTTCAGCGGTTTAAAATTATAACTGTGAAATATAAAATGAAAAAGATTTGAAAAATGATTTAAAAGTTCCGTCCAACGCCTGTCAACTGATAAAATGAATCGGACTTAAATCGAATTTTTCTCTCTAACTCTCCCAGGGCAAAGAAAAGAGAGAATTTAATAAAGAGTAGAGAGGGGGTTGGGAANAAATATTGATATATTGTATAATGTAATATAGATATATTGTACAATGTGATATAGATATATTGTATAATGTAATATAGATATATTGTATAATGTAAATATTGATATATTGTATAATGTAATATAGATATATTGTACAATGTGATATAGATATATTGTATAATGTAATATAGATATATTGTATAATGTAAATATTGATATATTGTATAATGTAATATAGATATATTGTACAATGTGATATAGATATATTGTATAATGTAATATAGATATATTGTATAATGTAAATATTGATATATTGTATAATGTAATATAGATATATTGTACAATGTGATATAGATATATTGTATAATGTAATATAGATATATTGTATAATGTAAATATTGATATATTGTATAATGTAATATAGATATATTGTACAATGTGATATAGATATATTGTATAATGTAATATAGATATATTGTATAATGTAAATATTGATATATTGTATAATGTAATATAGATATATTGTACAATGTGATATAGATATATTGTATAATGTAATATAGATATATTGTATAATGTAAATATTGATATATTGTATAATGTAATATAGATATATTGTACAATGTGATATAGATATATTGTATAATGTAATATAGATATATTGTATAATGTAAATATTGATATATTGTATAATGTAATATAGATATATTGTACAATGTGATATAGATATATTGTATAATGTAATATAGATATATTGTATAATGTAAATATTGATATATTGTATAATGTAATATAGATATATTGTACAATGTGATATAGATATATTGTATAATGTAATATAGATATATTGTATAATGTAAATATTGATATATTGTATAATGTAATATAGATATATTGTACAATGTGATATAGATATATTGTATAATGTAATATAGATATATTGTATAATGTAAATATAGATATGTTGTATAATGTAATATAGATATATTGTATATGTCTTTATATTGTTGTATCCTGTCAACACGGAACAAATATATAAACTTTATTGTGAAAATGAAGTTCTAAAATAAATTAGACCAAGAATAAAAACATGATAAGACCAAAAACAGGCAATCTAAAAAATTATTGAATGCCGGATAAATGGATCAATAAATCAATGGATCAATATATCAATGGATCGTTGTATCTATAGATCGATGGATCATTGGGTTCAAGGAAGGAAATGAATTGCAATCTTTGAGTTTTTACAAGTTATGAATATTTTCAGTATCTCTATATATTCGTTCTGCACATGTGCCTTTATTTGTCTAAATAGAAAGCCTTTAATTATATTAATTATATGGCCACATGACACATTTTACAACCAAACAAAAACAATCTGTGGTGATTGAAAGATTGAATGTCATATTTCATATTTTTACACAATAGTAAGTTTATGTCCTATAATTTGACTAACATAATTTCAGTGATTATGCAATACGTGTAAGAGTAATTTCAGATTTATAAAGTACACGATGGGGGGGGGG